ATTCAATTTTGTGTGATAATTATTTTTAAGAGTTAATTAGCATTCTAAGATTAATTTTGGTTTTACAATATAGTCTAGGATTTTTGGTTTTTAGGAAAATTAATTTAGGAAGAAGCTAAAAGAAAAGAGAAGGAAAATTGAAAAATCGTAATTTGGGCCATTTTTAAAAAAGAAAATCTCAGGCCCAATATCACACCCAACCCAGGCCCAACCGGCCAATCTCAGAACCCAACCAAACGACGCCGTTTTTGGGTCAAAGCTTCTGGGCCGTTGATCTCACGCATCCGACGGTCAGGATCATCAATCTATTATCCGTCTAACCTTATCCGACCCGTTTCCATACCCGTCCTCCCCGCTTCTACACCAAACGACCCCATATTCAATTAAAAGGGTTGATCGAGGCCGCTGGATCCCACCATCCAACGGCCCCGATTAATTCAATCATTTTCAATATATCAAATACCATCAGACCCACTCCCAAACCAAATCCCCCACCCCTCTTCGTCTCTGAAGAACAGAGATCCAAATCCCTCCCCGAACCCTAGAGCCGCCACCCCACTCCTTCGCTTGAAACCCGGCGGTCCTTACGCCGGTGGCCGTGAAAATCACACCCTAGGTTCCTCTGACCCTCCCCTCTCTGAATCCCCACTCCATTGTCTTCTAATCTTCGTAAAATGGTTCGAATCTTCGATCAAAGAAATCGACCAAGAAACCCTAACCTACCCAATCAGCCCCAAATCAACACTCGTTGACCACCAGGCCACCCTCGTCCCCAACCCCATACCAGCTATGTTCGAATCAAGCCAGATCTCGTCAAATTTCAAATCGATTGAGCGAACCCTAACAGAACCAAGCCTAGAATCCAGCCAAAGTAGGAAGATTGAGGTCGTCACCGACCTTAGTCGTGTGTTCTCAGACGAGAACACTCGTTTAAGGTCTATGTCGGCTTCAAGTTCAAGTCGAAGTCGTTTAGAACGAATGTGGGGTTGTGACTGAATTTTTGAGGTATTTTTCTCCTTTTCTTTTTATTTATTTATTTATTTTTGTTGTTGTTTATCTGTTTGAGTTTTGATATAATTCGTCGGTTGTCAATTACCTTCTTCCTTCCCCGTCGAACCTTTTTCTTGGTTCAGCTTTCTTCTGATTAATTAGTATATGATATAAACTGTCGAATCAATTAATTAAGTTTCGTCAATTAGGCCGTTCATGTTTGCAGTTTAGTTGTGCTCTTTAGTTGACTTTAACTATTTTATGTATTCCCAACTTCATGATTCCGTCCAGTAGTTGTGAATGTTCTTTCATTTTTTGTCTGATGATTAATTTAGAAACGTAATTTGCTTTAAAATGTTGATAGTTCTGAAAGGTCAGTCAAATTTGATCTTAGTAGTTCAACTGATTGTGCTCAGAACCATTGACCATTCATCTTTGCTGTGATGCTTGTTTGATCTAATTTGTTTTCAAACCTGAACTTTTGTTGAATTTGATGATTGGAATCATGGCAATATTCTGTTGAGTTTGGTGTTTAGTATCCATAGGACTTTGTTTATGTCACAATTTTGGTGTTCCTGTGATTAATTATGATTTAGTTTAGTCGGTTGTTTCTCCTTTAAGTGAATTGGTTATAGCTGATTGGGATTTCGTACAGATTAAAAGGAGGCTCATGTAGGATAATAGTTCAGGGGTTTCAGGGGTGATTTGGGAATAGAAAACTTGCTGAATTGTTTAAATGGGGTGTTCTGTCCACTAAGTTAATATAACATTAAAACTAATTTATTGTTTAATAAAAGTGGGAACAAGACATATATGAGTGGGGAACAAAACACAATGGTATAGGGGGGCCACTAAGTAATGAGTAATACACTAATGGATTAGTCAAAAGAGGAGACAATTTTAAGTGGGATTGAATAGTAATAGACAACTATTAGTGGAAGACTACCTTTTGTTTTAAAAGGACCAGCTTAAGAATGATTAACTACCCACTAAGGCCTAAAATTCGGAAAAAAAGGGTGATTGAAAATTAAATGGTGGAATAAAAGAGAGAAGATTTTCTTCAAAGNCTGGAATTTCACTGAGGTTTCAAGTGGTTTTCTAAGTTTGTTATTTCTGGTCTGCACTGGTTATTTGTTGTTGTTTATGGTATATCTGTGTTGCTGCCTTGTATTTCTGAAATTGCAACTGGATTTCTGAGTTTATTGCTGGGTTTTAAATCTCCTGGTTGCTGGTTGTTGTTGTTGTTGTACTGTTACCGCCTTGTTGATTTCTCATCTTCCTCTTATCTTGTTTCCAATATCAGGTACACGACTGTAACACTGTGTAAGCTGAAAATGTGAAGGCATGAATGCATATGAAATTGAAGTTGGAAGTTTGATTAGATTGTTTCTTCTTTACTAGTTGTATTTAGAGTATTCTCATATATTACTGTTATGCATCTTAAAAATTGAAGTCTGGACTATTTTTTTCCAGTTTGAGTTGTATTAATTGAAGTTATAGTTATAATGAATTATTAGGTGGTATTTACAACTGTATTTAGTTGTTTGTATGATAACATTTTTTTTCTTTGCAGTTAAAAGTCAGAAATAGTTTATGCATGTTGTTAGATTGAAATTAGTAAGTCTAAGCTTCCTTTAAAAAAAATGCAATAGTTAATGGATTAGTTGCTATATTTCATTTCTTATTGGTTCGCTGTATTTGAGGCAGATTTTAAACATGCAGTGTTTGATTCCGTTAGGCATCATATAGGCCAATATTCGAATCCATGTTGATAACATTTCCTAGCCTTTAATTCCAATAGTTTAAATCAACTTTAGGAATGTTAGTTTAAATCAATTTGTAGAATGGCTAGTTTGTTTTAATATTTTGTCAATCTCATATGCTTGTTTTAATTTCAGCCTTAGTAGTTCGCTTATAGAATAAGGCACGAAATAGTTTTCCATTTTTAACAAGTTCGAGTGCAATTTTCCGTTCGCATCTATTATAACTTAATAACTAATAAGAGGCCCAGACTTCTCAAGCATGTAATTAAATAGGACTTTTCTCTTTTATTTTAGAGACAAGCTTAGTAGAGAAAATATAGTCACTTTAGGTTCAGCCTTTAAATAATAAATGAGGCGTGTCTCACCAAATAAATCGCAAATTGCGGGGCCCTCAACAGATGGTTATTTCAAATGCTTAGATTTCGGGACATGCCATTTTAGCAAATTTTACGGCTTTTCTCAAAATAACAAATGCGCTAGTATCTTTAGGCGCGTATTTAATAATGTCATCTCCCTAAACTCGGGTGCACATTTATGTGACCCAAATCCAAATCTCAACGAAGTCGGAACATATTGAAAACTGCGGGTACATTTATGTGACGCAGTTCGAAATATATTCTCACGACGTTGCAATTCTCTTAAAAATAATAAATGATAAAAGCGGTTCAAAGTTAAAATTGGCACATAGGTTCAAATGTATTAAAATCAGATAAATAAGCTAAATATGACAGTTGAGCGACCGTGCTAGAACCACGGAACTCGGGAATGCGTAACACCTTCTCCCAGGTTAACAGAATTCCTTATCCGGATTTCTGGTTCGCGGACTGTTAACAGAGTCATATTTTCCTCGGTTCGAGATTCAACCGGTGACTTGGGACACCATTAATCTCCCAAGTGGCGACTCTGATATCTCAATAATAAATCCCGTTCTGATTGTCCTTTAAATAGAAAAACTCCTCTGCGCCCCCGCGGGCGCGGGTAAAAAGGAGGTGTGACAATACCAGTAAATTCAAAATCATCCTTTAACAGTTGGTGGGACTGAGAATGGGTTTCTAACAAGACAACTAATGCTGGCCTTTTATAATCCAACAAGGACCTAAAATTTCTTCTAAACTCCACTGACTGGCTACCCCTACAATTCCATATTATGAAATTCGTATGGTTATTATTTGAATCAAACAGGGTAGAACTAGGTTGACCCGGTCGGAGCCTCAATGTTGGGAGGAATAACATGGCATATTTGCCCACTGCCAGATTGGTTGTTGGCCTTAGCCTGAATGAGGTTGATATGAGATTTTCCGGGCACCTTATGAATATCTTTCTTTCGAATTCCTCCTTCTGCACGAAGACCTTTATTCCATTCATGCATGCATAAACTGGTCTGGTCTCTCTGTTGTAAGCGATGGCTGCGTCTAATTCTTCCTGCAAATTCTCCTCTTGCTATTCTTGTTCTGGTTGATTGAGATTGTCCGGAGAAGGAGAAGGAGTTGGTGGTGGTTGGACTCGTGGGGTTCCTGGCCTCAACAGTGGGGTATGTGGTTGAGTTTCCCAATAGGGTTGAATCCAAGGAACATTGGGAGTTGGAGGTGGATAGAGAGCCATTCGTATGACATTGGGATGAAGAGGGGTCTGCTCCCAGACTGGAGAGGGAGGAGGTAGTGACTGAAATGGTGCAAGGTTTGGACCTTGCATCATTGACCAATGATAACGCGCGTATATCTCCGTGCCCAGTTGCATCCCCTCCGCCACAATCTGGGCTAAGTCCCTCGGATGGTTGATGAGTACTGTGACAACCTGTTGGTTCACTTGCAATGTGAACGTCAGTGCATGATTGTACAAGCCCGCTTCTAGCCAAGATGCTAGATACGTTGGTGCATGGGGAGTGTGTGCTGTGTAAACTACTGAGTTTTGCTCCATTGTGAGATGTGGTGGTGGATGAGAGAAGGCCGTGGGATTGTGGTGGAGTTGGTGGGAGGTCTGCCTTGGGTTGTTCCGTGGTCTTCTCAGGTGGCTTAGAAAATTGAGGGGAAACATTGTTTGGAGTAGTAACGTTTGCAGAAAGGGACAAGGGCAGATTGTTTATAATGGATGGAGTTAATGGCAAAGGTGAATTGCCAATGGTTAGAGTGGCCGGTTGAAAAGATTGACAAGAGTGTAACTTGTTTGACTTGGAAATGGAGGTGGAGTCTTCATTACTCCCTAGTTGCATGTCTATAGAATCTTGTTATGATGGGGTGGAATTAATGTCTAAGTAGGAGGTGGATTGAGGATAGGAGAATGTTGGTCGTTTGTAGCAGATGGTGTAGTCGTTGGTTGGGATTTGGTTTGCATGTGAGGAGTAGTTGCGTGTCCTAATGTATGGTAATGTTGAGGAATAATAGTGGTGGGTACTATTTGATTTGATTGGACCCCACTCTTGTGTACTTGAGTGGGGTTTGAAATTTGACCCAAGATATTTATGTCATTTGTAGTACTAGGTAGTATAATATTGTTTTCATTAGTCGATTCTTCCAATAAGGTAGCAAACTTATTATTCGGTAATACTTGTTTATACATGTTGTTTAACCTAGAGTTATGCTTAACAGTAGTTTCTTCATTATTTATAGCTAATTGTCTAAAAGGAAGGTTATTAGGAGTAAGCTTACCTTGTTGTCCCTCCCTTACCTCATCTGACTGGAATTGCCTGTTGCGAGATGGCCTTTTATTTGCATACTTGTTAGGAAATTGGACTAGCTTCCATTCTTCTTGTGCATTTGCTCGAGTAACACTCATATTCTGCTCCTGCTTGGCATTATCAGTTGAAGGTGTTATCTTTCCAGTGGAGGGGCATGTTCTTTGGTTGTGGCCCATACATCCGCATGTGATACATAGTAAATTTAGTCCCTCATATAGAATTGTCTGTTTATGATCACCAATGTATAGATGAGTTTTTAATGGTTGGTTCAACAAAACTTCAACACATAAACGAGCATATTGGCCTCGAGTAGTATTAGATGTACAAACATCCATTGATAAAAATTTGCCAACTTTCTGTCCCAGCTTCTTTAAAATATGATAATCATAGAATTCAGTAGGTAATTCCGGCAATCGTAACCATATGGCTGAAGATGTAAGCTGAGTTTCTGAAGCTTTAAATTTAGGCTCCCATTGTCGAACGGATAAGAAATGATTAAGAACAAACCAAGGCCCTCCTCGTAAAGCATGAACTTTATTCTCCTCCTTCTGAAATTTTAAGAGAAAAAAATCTGACCCTAGGTCAATTAGAGGAAGGTTTTCAGTGGGTTTCCACAACGCATACACCTTCTGCCTCAGTAGTTGGTGTTCCACTTTTCGCCCATACACTTTTATAATTACTGCATTTTCCCAAGGCTTATAAAGCCTATATTTTTCCTCCACTGATATAGGTATGAAGTTGGAGGAATCAGTTGGCGCTTCTAACTCATCATTGTACTCAAAACTAGCAGTGTTTATGGGTGGTGAAATATTTTGTGCGAGGGAAGAGCTATGTGTGTTCAAGGATTGGAGATAGGTTTTTGGCAGCTTATTAGATTCAGCCAAGAAATTTGGTGAGTCGATGTGCATGGCAGTATTCATAGGAGTAGGAGTAATGATTTTATTGAATGAAGTTGGTGGAGAAGAGTTGTTGTCAGTGTTGCGGAAGCCAAATGTATATAGTGTGAATAAGTCACAACTACTATACCAAAAATTATGACAGCCACCAAATAATAAATAAGACAATAAAGCAACAATAAAGGGAACACCAGAATTTACGAGGTTCGGCTAATTTTGCCTACTCCTCGGACACAACCAATATTTTATTTCACTCCAAAAATACAAGTGAAATAATACTAAAGAGAGAAGATACAAATGCCTTAAACAGATGAGAAGGCAAATGAGAGGTGTGTTTCAATCCTAAACATTAGGCCTTCTTTTATAGGGGAAAAATCCCCCCCAAACTTAACTCCCAACCAATGTGGGACTTTGGCATTTTGCCAAACTTCAACAAATCTCCACCTTGGCAAAATTCCACATTTTCAATTCTCTCTCAATAACAAATTTTGGTTGTGTCTTCATCTTCAATCTTCAGTGTTCAACAATGTTGATCAAATCCAAACAATGTTGAAACTTGACCGCAGTCACCACCTTTGTCAGCATATCAGCAGGATTCTCTGTAGTATGAATTTTCTTCACCGTGACTCCACCTTCTTCTATGATTTCTCGTACGAAATGATACCGAACATCAATGTGCTTCGTCCTTGCATGATAAACTTGGTTCTTCGCTAATTGAATAGCACTTTGACTATCACAAAAAATTGTGATACCTTTTTGTTCAACACCAAGCTCCTTTAGCAATCCTTGAAGCCAAATTGCCTCTTTCACAGCATCTGTAATAGCCATGTACTCTGCCTCTGTTGTAGACAAAGCAACTGTTGACTGCAAAGTAGACTTCCAACTAACTGGTGCCTTTGCAAAAGTAAACACATAACCAGTAGTTGATCTTCGTTTGTCCATATCACCCGCAAAATCTGAGTCACAATATCCAACTACAGACTGATTGTCTTCCTGCTCAAAAACTAACCCGACATCTACAGTATTATGAATATACCGTAGAATCCACTTCACAGCTTGCCAATGCTCCTTCCCTGGATTGTGCATATATCTGCTAATAACTCCAACAGCTTGTGAAATGTCAGGCCTTGTGCAAACCATTGCATACATCAAGCTACCAACAGCATTTGCGTATGGTACCTTTGACATATACTCTCGTTCAGCTTCATCCATTGGCGACATAGTAGTACTTAGCTTAAAATGGGAAGCAAGTGGAGTACTAACTGGCTTAGTCTTGTCATCTATGCCAAAACGTTGAAGTACTCTCTTCAAATATTCCTTTTGAGATAAACAGAGTTTCTTTGAACGTCTATCTCTAATTATCTCCATGCCAAGAATTTTCTTTGCCTCACCCAAATCCTTCATCTCGAACTCCTTCTTCAGTTGAATCTTCAACTTATCAATTTCTTCCGAATTCTTGGAAGCTATCAACATATCATCAACATATAGGAGAAGATATACAAAGGAACCATCTTTAAGCTTGTGCAAATACACACAATGATCGTATTTGCTTCTCTTGTACCCTTGCCGCAACATAAACTCGTCAAATCGCTTGTACCATTGTCTAGAAGATTGTTTCAATCCGTACAACGATTTTTCAAGTTTGCACACCATATTTTCTTTTCCAGCAACTTTGAATCCTTCTGGCTGAGTCATGTAGATTTCCTCCTCCAAGTTTCCATGTAAAAACGCAGTTTTTTACATCATCTGAACTAGTTCCAAATCCAATTGTGCTACCAAATCTAACATAATTCTAATGGAGGAATGTTTTACAACTGGAGAAAACACTTCATTGTAATCAATTCCCTCCTTTTGAGCATATCCTTTGGCCACCAATCTTGCTTTGTAGCGAACATCTACTTGGTTAGGAAATCCTTCCTTCTTTGCAAATACCCATTTGCACACAATTGCTTTCTTTCTCGTCGGGAGATTGGCCAATCTCCATGTATGATTCTGATGAAGGGACTATATTTCATCATTCATGG